AGTTCTTGGAAAGTTATTCTGAGATGCACAGTGAATGGAAATACAACAGAGAAGATCAGTCCCCACTTCCCCTTGCCACCCTCTTCATCCCTTCCAACCACTGCAGCAATCTGTTTCACATTTAGACACAGAGAATTTTGAAGTGACTGTTTGTTCAAGATCCAACTTGCTTACACCTTTCCTTTTGGAAGGAGGTGTCTCTGAAAAGAGACCATCACAGCCCAAGACAACAAAAAGGAACTTTTAAAGTCTGAATCTGATGCAAACTCTTAGACAAGCTGGTCTTTACATCTGTTTCCCCCTTGGAAAACGTTGGTCTGTTGTTACGAGCTGTTATCTTCATGTGTCTGTACATGGGAAAACACAAATCCAAATGCTGTCATTGTTTCATTCGCTAGTTTTGTTTTTTAATATGGAAATTTTGTTTAATATTAAACAAAAGATTGTAGAAGTTTTATTATTTAGTAATAAAATCAAGTCAATGAGTCAGTGAGTCTCTCTTATCATCTGATGACCTAATATTTGCAGTAGATACTGTATTAACTTTGTGTTAAATATATTAAAAAAAAAAAATAATTGGCCACCTTTTTGGATAAAATGACACACAGCTCTCTTTTCATCTATACTTAGGCTTCTCAAGAAAAGTTGGGTGTTTTTTGTTTTTTTTTTTTTTTTTTTTTAAATCTCTGGGTTATATCCAGAGGTATTTAATAGGGAACATTAAATACTTGGTCTCTCTTTGATTTCAAGTTTCATTGTTGGCCTTCTGCCAGTAACAGGGCTGGTACAGAGCATCGCTGAATGCCAAGCCTGGAATGCAAACAAAGGAGGATCTGCTAAAAGTCTTTGTTTCTTCTTGTTTGCTTTTATTATGTCAAAGATTAGAAAGAGGAAAACATAGATGTTGTCTGGGTCAAGCTGAACTGCAGCCCAAGGACAGAGCCCTTTCAAAACATTGTTGGGAAGCCTAAATATCCTCCAGATTGTTGCCTGGGTTGTTGGAGTCTGCTGTTGGATACCAGTCTTTGGTAAATCCACTGAAGGAGAGTGCAGAGCTGTTTTGTTGGAATGGCCAGAGAGCATTTGAACATTCAAAGTTGAAAGGTTGTGCTGTACAGAAAGCTGTCTCTTGGCTTCAGTGTTTCTCTTCCTTCTGCAACTGCTCCATTTTCAAGTTTATATCTGTAGTAGTTCATTTGCTATCAAAATTCTTAGACACAAACCCTTCATGTTCATCCAGATCTGTATTTCTGGTGGTGGAGCCATTCTGTGCCACAGGAAGAGTGCTGCTACTTAGGCTACATCAAGAGTTTTCCAATCTGTTAAGTGATCTTCTCAGTTATATATTCAGTAAAATGTGATGCCTGAGTGTGCAGCAGTTCCTAGTAAAGAATCAAAGTTTATGAAAGGTTTCATATCCGCTACCATAATTATTCTGTGAAGCTAATAAAATTGGTTTTTCTTACTGTCATTTCCTCTTGTGGGGAACTGGTGTTAAGATTTGGATTTTTAAATTATTTGTTTATTTTAGCTTTCTGTGCATAGATATTGGAACTCTATTTTTACTGGTGATGTACTGGTGTGAGGTGTGGGAGACTGGGAAAGTGTTGGCAGCATACATGCCCAAGGGGAGGCTGGGTGATTTGCTTTGGGCATCGTGGTGCAACTTGATGGTTCTGTTTTTGAATGCAGAATTAATGAATGTGGACTTAATGCTTTATGATGGAAATCCAAGCAACAAACAATACCTGAGAACAGATGCAGAGTTGTAAGGACTTGAGTGCATTTTGATGCTCCTGTCCCCTGAACAGCTTCAGCAGTTAAGCACTAGCTGTGTCCAAATAGAGATGCCCTATACAAATACATTGACCTTGTTCTGCTTTGACAGATTCCTTTGCTTTGAAGGGAGGGCTGATTCTGGATTCAATTAAAACAAGACATCTGTAGCCAGTTCCCAGATTAGCTCTAGAAGACACTTGCTTCAGGTCCCAGTCCCTTTCTTTACTCAGATGATGCAGATCTTCACTGCCCTGATCTGAGTTTTGCCATTCCTGTGCCTTTGGCTGTCCGAGTACCTAAGCCTGTAAATGGAGAAGAGCTGGAGAATAGTACCTGAAATAGGTTTGATGCTGAGAAATTTCCTTGTTTTATAAAGAAAGCTCAATTTCAGGCTCCTCTGTATGTGTGTGAAGGGGCTGTCACCTTACACTCAGTGCAGTTCTTCTCAACGTTAGAGTAGTTTGTTAAAGTCCTCCAGACTCTAAATGGCTTCTGGAAAACAGCCCCCACCTCCTTCATCTTCATCAGTTGTTTCATGTTTGCCTTACAGAGCTTTTTGGAGGCTTCTTAAGGCAACAGGATGAGGAATCAGTCACTGGAAAGTCAGATAAGATGCTCACTTCTGTTAACACGTTGCCTTGGGATCGTGCCTTCATTCCTGTTAAACTTCATTATGCTGTGTCAAGCTTACTGCTTAGATGACCTTTTAATACAGTATAGAGCTATTATCATTATAAATAAAGCACTGTACAGTTCCTTACAGAAAGCATAAAAAAAGCAAGGCTCCCTCTGGAAATACTTAGAGTAACGTGAGCCAAAATAACAAGTGGAACATGCCTAACGCACGGAAGTGAGGATAGTCCTGGATGCCGAGGTGAGCCTCAGGAAGATTTAGGAAGGTGCACAAGGAGCTAAGAGAGGGGAAAATCATTCCCCCCTTAGAGGGGTGTGAAGGGGATGGAGGGCACAGGCAGGACGCATGTATGTGTGAGGGGAAGGATTAGTATGTACAGGTAGGGGCTGGGCCAGGATGGAAATATGGGGAGCTTGAATTCAAGGTGGAACCAGAGACTGGCTGAGGCGGAGGGATGGTCACCATGGTGTGAAAGGAAGAGCTAGTACAGGCATCAGAAATGCCGCAGGACATTTGCTGTTAGATCTCTGCTGAGGTCACATTTCAGAGTTGTGGCTCGTTCAGTCTGGTTACCATGTGCCCTTACTTGCCACCCCACCAAGTATTGGCTGTCTGTAATGTGCTCATCCTCTCGCTGTGCTTATCAACATGCACACTGTAGGAGCTCCCTATCTTGCCAGCTGAGGTATAGAGAGGCTAAAAAAGCTGTCTGGTTATGCTTTAGGTATGTTGAGATACTTGAGTACGGTTTCATGATCAGCAAGTTTAAGCTAATGCCCAGATCATCCTAGCTCCTCAAGGTGTCTTAGCTGCTGCATAAAAGGGCATGTATGCACAGACACATGTAGGTGTTTAAGATGCATTAGGTAACAAATTATCTCTTAAAAAAAAAAATCCCTTCTGTACTTGAAAACTAACTGCTCTGCTTGAGACCCTGGAAGTACTGGGGGCAGGAGACTCATGAAAACTGTTCTCTATATGTTCTGGGTATTAATGATTTGAAATGGACCCAGCTTCTGCTCCAGTGAGCCAGAGAGGCTTTTTATCCAGGCTGCGCTGCAAGGGTGAGACAACAGCTGGGTCTGACAGTCTTGATAACTGATGATGCAAAAGGCTCCATCCCTTACTTTTTCCAAGTGGCAGCAAAGTTGAGCATATCTTTGGGGAATTCACTCTGTGTTCTGCAGGGTTTATTAAATTAGATACACACACTGCCACTGAAGGTTGCCTCATGCCCATTGAAGGAAAGCTACTTGTGTGCTGTGGGTGATGCAGTGGGTTCATTAAAACCCCAGTGCGGATCCTCTTAGTCTCAAAAGAATAATCCCCTTTGAGCAAGCCATTAGTTCAGACTATGTAGTCAGCAGAAAGCAACAGTTTGTCAGTGCTAAGAGGAGTGGGGGGAGGAAATCTGCTTCCCCAGTCAATGTCTGGAGTGAAATCACTTGCTGGGAACAGAAGATGCCTTCTTTTCTCTCCAGCTCAGTATCCAGCAAAGTACATCTCCTGAGGCCACCTCATTGTACTCTTTTGGAGTATGTTTTGTTCTCTGAAGTAACTAACTTAAGGAAGTAGGACTTCATGAAAGTCCATTACTTGCACAAGCATTTACCAAGCATTTGCATGAATGGATTTAACGAAATGAGTGGAAACCCAAAGATGTCTTTGGGAAGGTAGGTAAAACAAAGGCAGATGCTAACTTTGGAAATGTTTGTCTGGTTTTGGATAGGGTAAGATGGATGCTTATTTGTGCCACTGACTTTATGGGGCCAGGGTGGGGCAATGATGAATCTTCTGAGAAACAGAAGGAAGTTTTGTTGGGTTTGCAAGGGCAATACCTGGCAGCTGTGTCTGTGGTCGTGGCTAAGATGCAAGTAGTGCAGTCGTGACCTCAGGGCATGGGAAACTGAGTTCCCGAGATGAAGATTCATGAGAGCATTAACTTTGCTTTGTTCTTGTAGTCAGGAGAGGAGAGTATGAACTTAGAGAAATAGCAAGGCACGTGATTTCAAAACTCAGTGAAGACAGAGTGAAGCAGCAATCTCTTCAGCTCTGCCAGAAAAAATTCCAGCCCTTATCGTCCAGCTCTTAACACTGTCTTCAGCCCAGTTAGAGAACAGCAGTAATAACATTAAAGAACCCAGACATAGCTCTAAGCTTAGTTCAGACAATTGTGATGCTCATGTGCAGTAATTCAATGCAAGGCTGACCCTAAGATAGCAGTGTGTCATCTTTCCTCTCCTAATTGCTTTTCTCAGCCCTGCTTACAGCTGTTGCTGTGGCACTTTGCCACTGGCTCCCTTCTGAGTTGATGTGGTTGCAGCGCAGGTTTCACCGCTGATGGTGAGTCCACAGGAGATATTGCCACCCTAAACCAGCTAGCTGTCATGTTTGTGTTTGTTTCAAATGTCAGTGTCTAGGCCATCTGGTGACTTCCTGCATTGCCTATGTCTGTTTGCCTCCCCTTGAAGAGAGGCTGGACGTTGGGGTTTTTAACGTTGTATGTTCTCTTCCCCATATCGCTATTTTTCCACGCTCTTCGGTCATCCTAATGCTTCCCACCCCCCACCCCATCTTTGTTTTGCAGGAGTATATTGATGCTCATCCAGAAACCATTATCCTGGACCCTCTTCCGGCTATTCGTACGCTTCTGGACCGATCCAAGTCTTACGAGCTAATTCGGCAAATAGAGGCATACATGCAAGGTAGGCTAATACCTGCTCTCCCTGAAGGCTTTTATTGCGACTCTACGGAAGGAAGCAGCTGGCTTCTGGAGGCTGGATGAGAGGTTTGAAGTAGTGGGTTTGGGCCCTTCGTGTTCTGTGTCTCTGTGGGAGCACAAACACTGACTGAGCCATTCCTGCGTCACAGGATTGCCCTTTGGAATCTGGTACTCTTCTTTTTCCATGTATACAAAGGAGGTTTGCATCTGGTTAAAAATATGATGTGGATTTAATGGGGAGCATATTTACTACAGTGAGCACTCCCAGAAATCTTCTGGAAAACATTGTCTTTTTGTGTGTGCTGGTAAATTGAAATGACTGTACAAACTTAGCAGCTTGTCATAAGAATCTTGAGGCCCAGATTTGGGAGAGATTTATGAAAGAAGAAAAATTGGTTTTGGAAAGAACTGGAAGAAATTAAGTTGTAAATAGAGCTAAGATCTTTGAGGAGCACTGGAAGCCTATTGCACAAGTTAATAGCTAGGAGGAGCATAAATGCACTTCTGGTGTCGGCTAGTTACCTGACATAGACTGTTGCCTTTAACTGGCATCATCTGAGTTGTATTCCCACGTTTAGAAGTCATGCCTTTTCAACCTGAATAATTCTAGTATCTTATCATTTTAACCATTGTAAGTGCTGGGTTAAGTTAATCTTTCATTCCCTTTCTACTTCTGTTACTGTCATAGTCTTGAAACATTTATTGGCTCTTGAGTTTAAATTTAGAGTAGCTCTTGAAGTAGCTGTTTCTTATGTCAGATACTTGGGGCAAATTGTGTTGCTGAACTATGTTCTAATGGGGTGTTACTGGAATTGCTGGGTTGTCATTGTGTTATCACTGTCTTCATGGGCAGATAAGAAGCTCATCGATTTGTATTTTTATAATTGTGGGTTTATAGACATACTGTTTGCATCTGACTTGTCTGACCCCATCAGCAGTGTCTATGTAAAAAATAAAACTAGTAATTTGCAGCACTTTACCTTGTCTTTTGGAATCTCTTCAGGAGAAAATGTTCAACTAATTTAAAAGGATTTTGTTTTGGAATCGTTATTGCTGTTTGTGAGTGGGAGAGGGGTGCTGAGGGAAACCTGTGCTCAGAGAAAATGATTGGGATTTTGTTCTAGCAGTGGAGAGATCAGTAGGGTTTGGTTTTCTTCTTAAATTGCTATTGGTTCTCCTAAGAACAGTATGTTTGGGACAGCATCCAGTTTTTTTAAGTAGTTTGTCTTTTGTGTATTTCATTCTCCTATGGTGAAACTGATGAGAAAAAGGAATAAATGCTTAAGAAGGAAAAAGAAAAAAGTAGGTTTGTATTCAGTTAAAACTGACACTTTAAAGAGCAGCTGTTAATAAAGTTGAGGAATGAGGTAAGGAAAAGCTTCACCTCTTCTCACTGGCTGCTGCAGTGTTAGGTGACCATATTTCTCCTGTGCCTGTGTCCCCCTGCGTGTCCCCCCGCGCCTCGCCCCGTCTCATCTTATTTCTGTCTCATCATCAGAAATATCATGTCAGAGACCTTGAACCAACTTTGTATTTAGCAGGGGAAATCTCAGGAGACCTGAGTAATTGGCTAACTTCGTTCTGGCCTAAGTAGATCAGCCTCTGTATTCCCACATGTAATGATCTGCAGTGAGAAATTCAGGAGACAAAAAAAGTTTCATCCCTCTAGACAGTGTGGTGGTTTTTTCTCCCTCCTTGTTTTCACCTGCTAAATTGTGTTTTCTACTTTGCAGCTGTCATGTCATATCCCAAGGCCATGAGCACTTAGAAAACTCAAACAAGGAGTAATACATCTGTGAATAGCATGAGGTCTTAAGAGTGACATCATTTTTGTTCTGGAATTTTGAAGTGGAAGTCACTACCAAGAAAATAGTATCCTAGTCTTTAGGTGTAACTACAGAGCTTGGTTTATCACAGGGTACAAAACTGATGTGATGGCTTAAGTTCAGTGCAAGGGATGATCTCTTCCAAAGGAATGCCCTAAACTCTGGAGGGTTTAGTATGTGTGTAAGGAGAAATCTTCTGGTTTTGAAAGTCTTTCAAAAGAAAATTCAGTGTTCATTTACACAGTAGTTTTGGATTCAGGTGATCATTCTCTCTGTTTGAATTATCTTTTAAAGTAACTATAAATGAAGCACAGTCTTTATTTATGATCTTCAGTTTGCACTTCATTTCAACCCTGTAGACCTTACAAGAACTGTATAAAGATTTGCACCGGTTGGGTTAAAAAGAGGATGACCACATGCTCTGCTGACTCCAGTTTGTATGGTGCTGAATCCTCCTCCCTCTGTGTTGCCTGCACCTTTGAAAATAGCAGATGTTGCTGAGGTGGCTGTGTTCTGCAGCAGTAAGGCTCCATGTTTTATAAACAGCTCAATTTTAAATGTAATTATCTTTCAGATGTCCAAGTTAATGCCTTGCCTGTCATTTTGGTAGTGAATTCTCCACGCTTCCTGAAAAAGGGAATCCCTTTTTTAAGTGTGTAAAACTGGGCATCTGGACATTGTTAGGCTTTCTGAAAGTCCTGTAGCTTGCTCTATTTAGTCAAGTGTCTGAGTGATAAGTACTTTGATCTACCCTCATGAGGATGGGTTGGAAAAATGCTTTGTGGCCTGCTCCATGTCACTGCTACAACAGTCTGTGGCCACTAAAGGAACTGATGTGGAGGAGAACTAGTAACTAGGCAAGAGGTGTACATGCACTCTAGGGGAAAGCATGGAGTTGAACCTGGACTTCCCATGTCCGAGACTAACACTGTAACCACTCAGTCCATGTGGAAATATGAGGTTCATAGATTTGCAGAATCACTGAAGTTGGAAGAGACCTCTTGAGATCATATAGTCTAGAGCAGGTTCCCCATGTCCATGTCCAGTTGGGTTTTGTATATCTCTATGGATGGTAACTGTGTGACCTCTCTGGGCAACTGCTTCAGGATTCACCTCGAACCTGGTATGCTAGCATGCAGCTAGACGCATGTTGCTGAGGTGACTTGCAGAGATTGTTATTTTCTTCAGTATAGGTAGTGATATCTCCCTTGGAAGGACGTGGGACTCTCTTCTAAGAAAAAAACCAAACATTCAGAGATATTTTAGTATTGATTTTAATGGATTCTTTTTTGGAAGCAATAGCATGGCCAGGGCTATGACTTCCTCTTTTTCCTGTTCTCTGTTATTTTGTGTGCAAGCTCTAAAAGAGCTAGTCATTCTGAAACCTTCACTTCTGAGTCTTTTTAAAAAGACTTGAAAAAATAGAGTTTGCATTCCCAACTTGTGTCCTACATAGCCGGCAGGTCTATCTTGAAATAAATCATTGAATAGATTTTTTGGTATAGCAGTTGAGTTCTCTCAGCAGCTGTATTGCTTTGTTTACTTATCTGTGAAGAATTGCTGCTGATACAAAAGTGCTCTAGATAAGTTTCTCTAATGTTTGGTGTAAGATTAGGAGCATTATTAAATGGAAATTTCATTTTTAGCAAGATATTGTATGGTTGGAGCTGTGTCAGCCTTTTTTAAGCTTTAACCTCATGAAAAATAACCAAATTCTCTGATGCAGTGTTGGAAAGCTGTGATCCTACAGCCTTGGAATTCAAGATCTGACTTTTAAAATTATGCTTAAGATGGTAATAGATAATCACTGTGACGAGGCACTAACTGACCTTTTTACATTACATTTTTAGTTTGAAGATTAAAAGCTTTTCAAACTCCCTACATATCTTACAAGTAATAATCTAAAGTAAAGGAATTTAAACCAAAACAGAGGTAAACGTGCTACTCACTCAGTACTCTACCTAGCTAGCGTTCCCACCTGCCACTCCACTTCCTTTGCTGTCTCAAGTGACTTACAGGTGTCTTTGACAATGTGTGAACTTCAGATATTGCAGACCCTGTAGTTAATTTCTTTAAGCACTTCCACATGCCTTTTTTCCATGATTTTAAAATCTTGTTCTTCGATTCTTAAATTTAACTCCAAATCTAAAATTTCTACAGAAACTAGTCTTCGCGGGGTTCCCCTAGAAGAAAAAACTCCTGCATGAGCCAAGCTCCGACTCCTGAATTTCTCTCTCTCCTAAGTCTTTTTGGAAGTATGGGAACTATTACCTCAGGACACTTTGAACAGTATAAACCCCTTTAGCGGTGCTATTTTCATCCCAACATGTAATCTAAATCATTTATGTTTGATTGTTTATGAGATGCTGTTGCTGCTATGTGCCCTCCTTTCTGATTTGGAGGCATATTACGGAACAGATCACTGCATCCTTCTCTATTCCCTGGATTTCTTTGTATCAGTTTCTGTCTGTCTTAGAAATAGTCCTTGAACAGCTGCATGTGGGGTTTGTGACTCGGAGAGAGGCTCAGCATGTTGCAACATGTAAGGCACTTGATTTGGGCCTCTGGGTTTTCTGCTTGGCGCTGGTTCTGGCTTGCTGCCTCACCTTGGGCACAGCATGTCACCCCTGTGCATCTCTTTCTTCTCTTGACATTCATCTGCCTGTCTCTTCTCTTTAGATGCCACATTTTTCTGGGCAGGAACCTCTTTTCCAGATACACACACACATACTCTGATACAGTGAGTCTATGATGGCAAGCAACCTGCGTAGGTATTGTTTTAACAGAAATTGTAGATCTGTTGTTGAGTAGAAAACTGGGTATTTACAATTCCACGCCGAAGTAGGTAGTCTGGTTTTATTTTCTGAAGTTATGGAGCATGTACATTGCTGGAGTGGTTCATACTCAGAACTTCTCAAAATCAGGCCACCCAGTTAAAAGTGCCTGAAAATAGCTGTATATACATAGCTGTAGGCATTCACCTTTTGAAACTGTGGACACTACTCTCCGTGGCCTGCTTTTCATAGCAGTTTTGGTTAGAGGGGAGGGAGAATAGTCACAGAGGTCAACTTCAGGCACCTGTATCTGAAGCTCCTATTAAAATGAAAGGAAAAATCTGGTTTTAATTTAAAGGCTCTAAATCACCCACCTGAGACTC